TCTCAGTACTCTTCTCCAGCACCACAGCTCAAAGGCATCAGTTCTCCTTCTATCCTCCTTGGTCATTGTCCAACTCTCTGATGCATAACAGGTGATTGTGAATTATACATTAAAATAAATTGTTCAGTCAATTTAGTTTAAGGAAATATGTTTAGCACACCAAATTTATATGATAGCAACACAAAAATAAGACATGAGAGTAATACAGAAAGATCACAACTTGTTTATTACATTAAAGACACTACAAACCAAAAGAAGAATTTAACAGTAACAACTTAAAGTACTATTTTATCAGTTCTAAAGTTACACACTTCAAGACTCAGAAAGTTATATCAAATATATGATTTTATAAAAAGCTAAAATCAAAACAAAAAAAAAACCCAAAAATAAACAGAACAAAAAAGGCTAGGCTTAATAGTAACATTACTTTTAAAAAATGTGAAGTTTCTTTGCTTGTCAGAATAATATTTACAAATTTATTGATTGATTTCTAAAGCAACCATAAAGCAAATTTAGGAGTTTTTAAATCCTTGATAAAAAGTTGTAACTGAGCTAGCGCTCCTTAGTTGTGCACGTCTAACACCAGAATGAATTTGAAATTTTATATAATGTTTATTTAATCTGTGTCAACTATTTTCAGATATCTGTATTGCAACCCCCTGATCACAGCTTTAATAGTAGTCTAGTAAAACTAAGCAAAAAAACCAAAAAAAGCACTAAAAGAAAGACATCTAAAATTTATTCACCTCCATTTAATTTTATTAACCTTTTACATGTTAATACTTTGTATAGTTAATAATCTCAGAAATAAAATTGACTTATATTACAAAGACTTTCAGAGGAAATCTAAAATTTCCATTGCGAATACCTTGTCTTCCTAAAATAAACATTTTCCAAATAAGTGGCTCAATTTTTAGACAAAAAAAAAAATATTTTACACTCTATTTCCTGCAAACCATTTTACAATTCTAATTTAGTGATACTAAAAGGTGCTATTAATCAGGATATGAACATTTATTTCCTTGGGTAAAAAGAAACTGATTCAGCTGAAGAAATTCTTGTTATTTACTCAGTAATACTCAAGCATTTTTAATGACAAATTATTATCCGGCACATAGGAAATACTTAATAAGTGTGAAAAATAAATGACTATTAAATATGTCAGGCTCTCCGCACTTCCTGGTGAAAAATATGGATGATTTAATGATGTGCTTGTCCATGTTAATTTACTTGCAACTTCTCCAAAATGTCATCAAGTAGGAGTTGTTAAGGTCAACATCATTGTATCTGCTTTCATAACCCAACTTAAAAAAATTTTGTTACTTTCACTATTGATCATTTAAGACTTTCAACAAATGAACACATAAAATTTTATGAGCAGTGGAGATGCAAAATATCAATCTATTTACACATAAAATTAAATACATAATTATGCATCTTTGCTTAAAAATCAAATTAACCAGAACACAGTTACCTAACTTTGTTCACAGCATTTCAAACACACACCAAAAAAATATACAGTGACTAGACCTGTGATTTTTTTTTTATTCATTTAAGACCTTCAGACACTTGATCATAACAAGATGAAGTAATTATTATTTCAAGTGAAGAAGAGCAAAATTATTTTTTGTCACAAAAAGTCTGATCTAAAACTTAGATATTCTGTTTTTCAGAGATCATCATATAAACGTTAGTCTTAAACATTGTTTTAGATCTCTTCTAAAGTAATTTTGACAAATAAGTGTTCTTGAACATATATTTAAACTATATGAACATTTTCTTTGAATATTTAGTTTCAAAACATGCAATTCTAGAATAAGACTGACTTTTGAAATAAAAATTCCAGTCTGGCAATGTGTTCCCTGTAATATTAATACAGTACAGGACTGGTATTTGTTACCATTCAATTAGAAGTTTCTAACATCTTGGGGAAATCTGCTGTCGGGGACCTCTCCAGCATACTAAATAGCAACAATGTCAGTCTAGAGAAAAAGGTGCTCCTGATCCAGTCCAGGCCATGGTCTTTGCAATTACTTGCTATGCATCAGAGTGCTGGATAATGACTAAAGATGGCAGAAGAAGAATTGATGCCTTCAAGTTGTGGTGCTAGAGAAGAGTCTTGAATATATCATAGACTGCCAAGAAAACAAATAGGTCTGTCTTGGAGAGAATGAAACCAAGTTTCTCCTTGGAGGCTAGGATTTTGAAGCTCTGTCTCAATACTTTGGGCATGTGGCCAGAAAGGAAAGGTCTTAGAGAAGGACATCAAGCTTGGAGGGGTGGTAGAGGGACAGCGCAGGAGAAGAAGACCCCAGATGAGATGGACTAATACAGTAACTGAGGCAATGGGGGTAGGTGTGTCGGAGTCAGTGAGACTGGCTCAGGACAAAGCAGGCATCAGAGCTGCTGTACATAGGGTCGCTGCAAGTTGCTGGCAACTCTACAGAACATAGTAACAACACGTGAGGCTGCTAACCAAAATGACAGGAGTTAGAATCCACCAGCTGTCCTATGGGAAAAAGATGGGTAGTCTCCTTCTCTAAAGATTTAGCCTAGGAAACCTGATGGAGGGTTGACATGGGTCCTGGTCAACTCTATGGCAGTAGGCTGGGTTTCAGTTTTGGTGGTGCAAATCTGGACTGCTCATTTAAAAGAATGATGGTTTAGATTTGCCCAAAGGGACCATGTAAGAAAGTCCTGGGAATCTACTTCCGAAAAACCAGCAATTTGAAAGTCCTATGAGAGCAAAATTTAACTCTCACACAATATGAGGTTATCATGAATTGATATTGACTTGACAGAACTGGTTATTTTTTAAAAAATACTTTCTTTAAAATATTAAAGTTAAAAATATTTTGTTTTCTTATCCATTTTCCCCACACAATTGCATTGTACCTTGAATCTTGGAAATACTCTTGTAATTATTCTATTATTTTCCTCAAATAAATTAATATAAGAAACAAGCATAGATATGTATTAAAATTAATCTTTAAATTAATTTTGTTACTATGTTCATGTGGTTATGTGCCAACAAGTCCGTACCAACTCATAGCTGACTCACCCGTGGCTTTTCAGCAGCTGTAAATTACATAGGAGGAGACTGCAAAATCTTTCTCATGGATTTGAACCAGTTGCCTTTAGATTAGCAATGCAACTCCTTACCACTAGGCTACTGGGTTCTCTGTTACCACAGGCTCTTAATTTAAAACAAACAAACAAAACAAAAACCTCACCTACACTTCACCGAAGACGACATTCAGATGGCTAACAAGCACATGGAGAAATGCTCAAAATCCCTAGCCCTAAGAGAGATGCAAATTAAAACAACTATGAGATATCATCTCACCCCAGTCAAAATAGCAAAATTTAACAGAACATCGAGCAACAAATGCTGGTGAGGTTGTGGAGAAACTGGAACCCTGATTCACTGTTGGTGGGAGTGTAAAATGGTGCAACCCCTGTGGAAAGCAGTATGGCGCTTTCTCAAAAAGTTGCAAATAGAGATACCATTTGACCCAGCAATTCCACTACTGGGAATATACCCTGAAGAGACCATAGCTGACATCCAAGCAGATATATGCACACCCATGTTTGTTGCAGCTTTGTTCACAATAGCAAGGAGTTGGAAACAACCTAAGTGCCCATCAACAAGCGAATGGCTAGAGAAGCTGTGGTATATTCGCACAATGGAATACTATGCTGCATTAAAAAATAAGGAACCCATGCAATATTATTCAAAATGGTTGACTCTGGAGAACATCATGCTGAGTGAAATATCCCGGTCACAAAAGGACAAATATTACATGATGCCACTGTTGTAGAATGCGACTAACCTCGGGGTTGGGGAGAGACTGAGTAAGATGGGTTCAATAATGTATACTGCACTGAAACAGAGGAGGGAGAAAACTGTTTAAAAGAGATATATGACTAGGTACTTCTGTCATCACAGGAGTCTAGAGCGAGGGCTACATGGTGGAGGGGAGCTGGGGGAGGGTTTGTAAAACAATGAAAGAATCCTTTCTTTTACTTTTCCATAATTTTTGACTCATGTACTTATAACTTGTTAGTCAAATTTGTGTCTTCTAGGTTGCAACACCCCCATGATACATCTTCAAGGATATGAACATGTATGGCCAAGCACAATCAATAAGAGTGCATCTAAATTCCAAAATCAATCTCCATAATAGTCTATGTGTTTCCTACTGCCAAAGGGGCCCTTTAGAGTAGTGAGAGAAGATCTTCACCCTGAAACCCACAGCTTCCCTTTTCAGCAGGAAGTAGCTAAGAGAATACGCCATCCCCTTTTCCTTATGAATCAGGGTGAAGTCTCTCTCAGGGAGGAGTGATAGGGAATGGAAAAGGACACACTGACAAAGGAGATTAATCAGAACTGACTTTGACAAGCACTGTGGCAATTGGACAATTAAAACAGACATTCGGATGGCGGGGAAGAAGAACAAACTGGGGAGGAGGGTGGAGAGAATGGTGCGGCAATGAAGGAGTGAAAGCCCAGAATCCCTGTGAATGTTCATTGAAACTAATAAAATTTAATAATAATAATAATAATAATAATAATAATAATAACACCTCACCTAAAGTAAATAATCAATATACTAATGGTGAAAACATAGTTTAAGCACAAATGACAACTTTTAACAAAATGTGATTGTAAGAAAGAAAGATAAAATTGAATTGGAAAGGCATCTTTTAATGAAATGCATTGAGAGAAAAGTGTTTGTGAAATCTTGTGTTTGTGTTTGTTCCATTTTTCCTTTGTTTGGCTCTATGGAGATTTTACTTTTTCCTAGAAATGCAGTTTAGATTCAGAGTAAGATGAAGTCTTTCTATAAAGTTAAATGAATGTCAACTTATCCTAAGTACTGTATTAGGAAGATCAATTTAAGGAAATAAAGGATTTGGAGATGGAATTCTTTAAAACTATTTGTGCCCCTATACTCCTTGAAAGCTTTGCTGACTTCTAGGGCTTACCTCCCACAATTTGAATACCACTTCAGTTGGGTATTTAGGAACATAGCTGTCAACTTGAGCAAATTGTGCTGAAATTGTTTATGAAATTTATTATTCGACCACAAAGCATACAACTTTATCTAATCTAAGATACTATACTACATTAAAGAACCAATTCATTCTATACTTGCACAGATTTTTATTTTAGAAAGAATATTCAAGGCTCATAGTATGAGAGCTCCATTATGTAAGAGCCCAATTAAAATCTATTACTATGGAAAAGCATAATAGAAATAATTGGTTGGTCTAGTGGCAAGAAGGGAGCTCTCTTGGCCTAGTGGCAAAAAGCTGAATTGCAATCCCAAAGGCACATGGTTCAAATCCACTAGCTACTCCACAGGAGCTACTCTGCAATCTTCTCCCGTGTAATTAACTGTTCTGAAAACCCGCTGGAGGGTCAGCTATAGGTCGGTTCTAACTCTATAGTTCACAGCAACAACAGTTTTTATATACAGATATTAAATGACTGACATGATTTCCTTGAAATCTTTAAAAGGAACTCAATTTAAAAAGAAATATGCTGAGCCAAATTTAAGAGATGAGGCACTTGTCCTGTGGCTGGAGTTTGGAAAATGTTTAGCTCAGTTGTAGTACTGTGGTGCTGAGGCTTTATTGTTCAAAGTTGTTTCCTTATCTGTTAGCTTACTTTGCCATGTGGATGGATGGAAATACGTGAATGAGGGGTGTTAGCCTATCCACAAGGGGACTGGCTAGTATCCCAGCCAATCTACAAGGGGGTTGGCTGTTCTCACCATTAAACCAAGGGTATCCACAGCAGAATTTGAGGAATGTCACCATTAGAAAAGAGCAAACAAGAGAATGCAAGTCATCCTTCAGAACCAGAAAGTCTTGCACCAGCCAGACTAGGGCCTACAGGAGCAACAGTCACAGCAGCCACAGCAGAAAACAAAAGACCTGACAAGGCACATAGTGGACCATGAGACTGTCATCCCATGAAACCAGAGCCTTTTGTCCAAGTTTGTTAGAGGATTGGGGAGGAGAGAGCCATAACTGGCAGAAGTGAGAACTGTAACATTGGCCTAGAGCCACAAGGCTCAAGGCTGAGGCACCTGAGAGCATATTTTGGAAGTTGTCCTGAGTATATTCTGCTGCTAACCTGGATTATAATCTTTTGATTTCACCAGTACAGTTCTGTATGGTCTGTGAGCAATAGAATTGAATTTTGGACCCAATAAAGCTGCAAGATTGGTATTGAGATGAGTAGAAAGAGGTATGGAAGCATGATGGAAAATGGTTTTATATTGTTGATGCTGTTGATGAGGACATTTCCCCTTTGTGAAGTTGGTAAAGATCAGCCATCCTTATGTGGCCCTTGGTCTTTTTACAAGTACCTAAGGTGGGCTTCAAACAGAAGCAGAAAAACCAACATAAAGGATATGTTTTGTGTTCAGTCTCTGGAGATAGGAGCTCACGTTCTCTTGGAATGCCAGTGTAGCTTCACACCCACAGGCATCTTGAGTGGAAATGAGTCTTCGTGCTTCTTCAATGGCTGAGACAATGAACATACACAAAATATTACTGCTTATAACCAGTTAAAGCAAGTCACAAAATCTATTATTTAGTATTTATGTTTTCAAGACTTACCTAAAGAACATTTACAAGAGGCAAAAGGATTAAGAGTGAACAGAAAAAAGGAAAATAAGTTTAGAATGTTAATGTCAAGTAAAAAGTACATCAGAGAATATGTTTACATTGCTGAAGCTGAGTGATAGATACCTGAAGGCTCATACACTATCATGATTGTCTGAAATTTCTCAGGCTAAAAGCAATTGTTTTTTTAAAGTAGATAATTGGTGTAGGAGGAAGCTAAGGATACAGAAATAAAATAATCTTCTTGTCATACTGTGCCCTCCCTCATTAAAGATGAAAAACAATGGATATGAACTTTATAAGTATAAGCCAGTATAAATAACAAAAATTTTATTCAAAAAGCAAACGAATTTAATATAAATTTTCACTGGAGAAAAAAGGGAAATGACAATGACTAAGGATGATAGAAGAAAAGATACCTTTGAGCTGTCATTCTGGAAAAGAATACTGAACATACCATGGACTAGCAAAAGAACAAACAGGTTGTTCTGGAGAAAGTGAAGCCAAGTTGCTCCTCAGAGGCAAGGATTTTGAGGCTTCTTCTCACATACATTGGGCATGTTTCCAGGAGAGACCAGTCCTTGAAGAGGGGCGTCATGCTTGGAAGTGTGGAGGGACAGAACAAAAGAAGACAGGATGAGACGGATTGACTCAGTAACTGATAATGCGGGTAAATATGTTGGAGACAATGAGATTCGCTCAAGACAGGCCAGGTATCAAAGCTATTGTACCTAAGTTTGCTCGGAGTCATATTTGACTCAATGGCACATAACAACAACGTGGACATTATTCAGAGGAACAGTTCCCCTATGTGAAGCAAGAAGTCAGACCTGAGTGCTGCTCACACTTTATCTGTTCCTTTTATAGCGCATAAATAGTATTTCTAAAATAAGAATGTCAATGGCCAATAAACATACAAAGAGATGCTTAACCCCAGTGTTAACCAGGAAATGCAAGAAAAATAAGATGTTATTGAGATACTTCTTTATGTTTTCTAGATTTATGAAAACATAATTCAATAGTACCAAACATTGGTAAGGATGTGATTCTTGGGGTTTTAACAGGCAAATTCAATGAGGAAAGTTGATCTCACCAAAGATGGAGACAAGAGAGGGTAGAGCATGTTCCCGGAATAGTGAGCAGCTCACTTTAGCTGGGTAACAGTTATCTGGATTGATAGGACAAATCTGGAGAAATTCTAACTAACATTCTTTATAGATTTTATTATAGAAATGAGAAAACCAATTTTCAATTCTAAGGGGCCCAAATAGCTAAAGCAATCTTTAAAAAGAAGATCCTTGGAGAGTCTCACACTCCCACATTTCAAGCCGTATTATAAATTTATGGTAATCTATCAAGTGTGCTATGGGTATAAAGATAGACATATAGCATAATGCAAAAGAATGGAGACTTCAGAAATAAATGCATTGATATTTGGGGTTTTTTCTGCTTTTTCCTTTTACAAGAGTGGCAAAAACACTCAATGGGAAAAGGATAGTTTCTTAACAAATGGTGCTGAGACAACTGGGTCTCATGTGCAAAGAATGGTGTTGAACCCCTACTTCATCACACATATTAAAATTAATTGGAATAATAACTTGAATATAATCTTTAAGCCATAAAACTCAGAGGAAAACACATAAAGGCAGAGCTTCAGGACCTGTACATGACATTGAATTCTTAGGCACAGCACCAAAATCACAAGTAACAAAGGAAAAAAAACCAGATAAATTAGACTTTAGAAACAAACTTGTGCATTAAGAAAATTAAAAACAAAACCCCAAAAAAGATACCAGCTCACTGCAACTAAGATAGTTATGATTGAAAAACAAGTGTTGTCAAGCTTATGGAGAAACAGAAACCCTTTATATTGCTAGTGGGTGTATAATATGGTACAACATTGTAGAAACTGTTTGGTACCTCTGTTAAAAAGTTAAATCCAGAATGATGATACAGTGTAGAAATTCCACTCGAGGTCGAAGACCAACAGACTTGACAGCAGGGACTTAGATAATCTACACCAATGTTCACAGCAGCACTGCTGACAATGGACAAATAGTGGAAGAAAGTCCAAGGGGTGTTCAAGAGATGAACAGATAACTGAAGGGTGGTACATACATACACTAGACAACAGTCATATGAAGTAATGAGGTCTGAATATATGCTACAACATGGATAAACCTTGAAAACATTGTGTTAGGTGAAAGAAATCAGACACAAAAGGACGGATACTATATGATCTCGTGTATATGAAATATTGAGAATCAGCGAATTCATAGAGATAGAAAGTAGAAGAGTGATAACAATGGGTTGGAGGAAGGGAAAATAGAAAGTCAATGCTTAATAAATGTAGGCTTTTGCTGAAGATGTTGAGAACATTTAGGAACAAGTACTAGTGATGGTGGTACAGCACTGGAAACAGAATCAATGTCACTGACCTGTAAATTTAAAATAGTTAAGCCACAAAAAGTGCTGATTAGATGTTATAATTGATTAATTACATTAATCAATGGCAATTACTAAAACAGAATGTCCAGTAATGATTGTATGAAAAATTAATATATGATTTATAATCCTTCACTGAAATAAAAGATAAATTTAAAATATTCATATCATATATATTGTTTAATGTCATATATCTTTTACAATAAGATAGGGTGCAATCAGATTACATAAGGTAGAATGTCTACAGCTGAGATGTATAATTGTTTTACTCTGTAGACAACTGAAAGCCAGTGGAGAATTCTGACAAGTTAGAATGCTCAGTCTGTCTCAATCACATCTGTGTTTTAGATATAAAGCAGTGAAACCTTACTCCTGGGAGATCTTCCTACCACACAGAATAGGTATAAAAGGGATGACCATTACCTGAGCATGTCTTCCTATCTTCATTCAAGGTGTAGCCATCATAGCAATCACAATGGTAGGACGCTGTCCCATCACTCACACAAATGTGCTGGCAGCCATGAGTGCCCAGAGCACACTTGTTGCTTACTAACCGTATTTGATGTAGGAAAGAATACAGTCATGAGTTAAAATAGAAATGAACTCTTTTGTTCTCAGCAACAAATCTTTCATAGTCCATAACTCACATCCCTCTAATATCACCTTTGATTACACCCACCTCTTTCCCAACTCTTCCAACTGAGTATACCTTCTTATTTGCCCCCTCCCGTTCACAGCACTGAGGCTGCAGTGAGTACTGAGTACATTTGAGAACTCACCTTTACCCTTTCCTACTGTCTATCACCTCTCCACTTATTTCCAGATCATCATCGCCATCACCAAGAACAACTCATTGTTGGAGCCCTTATTGCACTTTCGTCAAGGTCCTGCCTTAAACAGTTTACTAGGTGGAATAGAAAATACTAGCCTGGACCCACACACACAGCAGGGCAGAGGGAGGAGAGTGAAAGAACCTAATAATAAGACAGTGTGTTCTCGGAAATAAAGTACTCCTATCTATCTCTAAGTCCATTTCATGAACAGTTGGTCCAATTTTGAGTGGCAAGCAGAGGAAAGTACTATGTGGAACAAATAAAAGCAGCACTCCTCCTCAATAGACCAAGAAAGGCTTGCTGAAAGAAACAAATGTAGACTACATCATGCTACTTGTTCCCATCTAACTGAATGTCAATCTGTGCGGAGAAATCTTCCATGGTTCCCTATTGCCTATAGAATGCCCGTACTGAAAAGCAAAGCCTTATGTAATCTGGCCCTAAAATACCCTTCCAACCTTAGTACTGATATTCTCCTTTGTCCCTACAATTGAGATTTTCTTTGCAAAATGCCTAAGAACAGAATACCTCTTTTTTCCTTCTCTTTCCAGTTTAGGACCTTCTCTAGAGATAGCAGTGGGACATGCTGCCATCTTTGGCCTCTTATCTGGGTCTACCCCTTTGCTTTACAATCCTTCATACCACCCAGCAAAGGGAAAACAGTCTTTAGAGAAGAGCTGGCCCTTGTTGCATATCCCTTCTTTAAAACAGAATATAAATTGTATATCTCTTTCAACATGTTTAATTTATACAGCAGTAAAAGATACAAGTTCTAGTTTTTCTGCCATTCCATCTTTTTCTACTCTCTCTTTTTTTCCTCACTTTCCTTAAGAGATAGTATGACTGTGTGTTCAGAGCCTTCAGAGGGTTCAATTCTATTCTGCCACTTACTAACCAAGTGGATATAAGCAAGTTACTTAATCTGTCTATGCCTCCGTTTCCTCACAAAACAGCTGTGAGAATGAGTTGAAGTACCATGTCTAAAATGCCTGGAACCATGTATGGCAGTCAGTAAGCATAAAATAATGTCATTAATCAATATTTGGAATGTCATTAATCACTATCTGTCTGCCTTGATTGAAAATATTTCTTTCTTCTTCATGTAATAAATGGCTTCCATATTATTTGTTTAAGTGTAAAAGTCTTTCACTTATCTCCTCAAGTCTTCAGTGAGCCTGACACCAACTGGAATACATGATGCTCTGGTGGCGTAGTCCATAGGAAGTTAGGCTCCTAACCCAAGTGCCATATGCCTCTATAGTCATTCAATCCACCAGTGGTTCCATGGAAGAAAGATGAGCAACCTCCTCCTGTGTGATTTACAGCCTCAGAAACCAAATGGAATGTTAGCTAAGAGCCCCTTGTAACTTTGATGGCAAGGAGTGTTTGAGAAATGTAGCCATCCAAGAGTTTTGGAGCCTGAACAGCTTAGTCCTTCTTCCCATGAACAAGCCTACATTAATACATTCCCCTTGCTCCTCCTGTTCTCCACTTCTCTCTACCTAAACCATCACTGCCTTTCAAGCCCAGTCCCCCTCTCCATGTCCTTTCCCAGACACCCTTTACCTCCCTTTCTCCAACAAGCCCTTAGCTGGGTCACTCTCTTCCCCTGGTAACTTAGTCTCCATTTTCTTGAGATATTTGTACTCTTTCCACTCAGGCTGTAAATTACTTGGAGGCAGAAACATATGTTTCCTTTTATGCCCACAGTGCTATCCTAAAAGCAGAACAAGGGCTTACTGCTCTCATTTATTTAATTTTATTTTTAAAAAAAGAAAATTAGTGATATGCCATTTCCTTTAATCTATCTTTTAAAATCACGTTATGTATTTCGTCAGGAGAGAGGAAATTATACATATATCTGAAACATATTGAATAAGTTGAAATTAATCACCACTTTGAGAGGAGGACTACCTCTTAAAAGGGTTTTTCCGTTACAAATGCTACCCTGTTCTGTCAGTGAGTTTAAATCAAGTTAATGAGCATCAGCAGCACTGCTGTGGGCTCATTAGCCAAGTCCCTCATAATGCTCAGATTCACTAAACACTGATCATCCAGAGACTGTCAAGGAATGAATTACTTCAAATTTACTGGAAGATATGTGTGGGACCAATTCAGTCACTGACAAAGTGCCCTTTACTAAACAGCTCGGCTTTAAGATTAACACTACAGAAAAGTTCCAGGCCAAGTTTTAACTGGAAAAGGATCAGTTCAGCCTATCACACCAAATAGTTACTATCCAACCGATTTCCTTCGAAGTTTCCTATTTGCTTTAAAACTCCCTGGTGTAGGGAGCTATAAAATTTTCCTGGACAAGGATTCTACATTCAGTTAGCTTTTCTTATACTGCCCCCTATTCCCACCCCATTTCCAGTAATTTTACGGAGTGATCTATGTTTACAAAATCTAGTTGGTTCCTTGCTCTCTGGGCAATGTATAGCTTACCTAAATGCATGGTAGAATACTTGAACACTGAGTCTTCAAATTACCTTTAAGAACCACGTCTAGAAGATTGAAAATTGATTTCACTGTAGTGGTAGTCTAATCTGAAAGAATTAATTGAACAGACCTTACCTGAGCACGTCTTATTATCTTCATTCAGGATGTAGCCCTCAAAGCATTTACAGTGATAAGACCCAGCTCTGTCTCTCACACAAATGTGCTGACACGCATGTCGACCAAAAGCACATTTATCTTCAACTGTCAAAAGTTCCCGGGCAAAGAAAAAGTAGAGAAGTGTTTTATTCCCCATTTATAGAAATTTCTTCACTTGCTACTACACTTGAAACTATTCAAATCTTTTGATGCCGTTTGCTCTCACTAAAGATTAGTAAAAGGAACTCTGGTGGTCTATCTAATAGCAAGATGCTTCAATCCCAAAGGCACGTGGTTTGAGTTCACCAGCTACAGGATGATGGGCAATTTCCTCCAGTGCAGTTAACTGCCTCTAAAAACCGACTGGAGAGTCAGTTATGGGTCAGTTCCAACTTGAAGACACACAACAAAGGTTTCCTTAGGGAGCTCTCTTGGCAAGTTGTGCTGCTAACCCGAAAGCTGAGAAGCCCCAGCAGTCTGAACTCACTAACTAAACTGAAGGAGCAGGATAACTAGTCTCTTCAGATTGCAATTTGCAGCCTTGGAAACCTAAGTTGGAAAACTATGTTGGAAGCTCCACGGTGGTTTGTGTGAGTTGAGTTTTTCTTTGAAAGGTCAGCAAGAGCTCTCTGGGAAGCATAAACAATTATGCTCAGGTAAGGTCTGTTCAATTAATTCTTTCACTTGACTTCCAGCTGAAAGAACAGCAATTCACACTGACTTCTGAAAACAGACCTATCAAGATGCTTCTAAAAGGTCAGATGCTTGACAATAGTATGGCCCCGTTCTATGAAAATCTGGTACACACATGGGGTCACCATAAGTCAGAATCAACTAGATTATGAAAACTCACCACAGAAGTTAGCTAAATGAAGCAAAATTCTATATAGAGATCATTCTGGTGATTTCTCCTTGTTATTTTGAAGTTTTTATGATATACCTATCCCATAAGTACATTCAGAAAATTCTTTTTAATTTTGTTGTATTTATCCCAAACCAGAATAGTATCAACAGTTATGTGACTAATGACACTAGGTTCAGAAAATTGGTTTCACTGTAGGAAAACCTGAAAAAAATTATTGAGCAGAACTTACCTAAACAGAGTTTGAAGAAATTGTAACACAGCCTTTCCTATTGTAACTGTCCAATGGAGACCAATTGACTTGGAACAGCAACAGACCTAAGTAATTTTGCTGCCAACCTAAAGTCAGTGGGTTCAAATCTACCAGGTGCTCTGTGGGAAATGTGATTTATAGCTCCTCAAAGCCTGCTGTAGAGTCAGCTATGAGTTGGCTCCAACTTGACAGCAATGAGAAAGAAAGCTTCATGGTTAAGACATTTTCCTATCAGATTTTGTTTCCAAATTTTCATTTTAAAATTATTTCAGATATGGAGCTCTGGTGGCCTAATGGTAAGGAGTTGTGTTGCCAACCCAAAAACACTCAGCTTGAATTCACTGGCTGTTCCACAAGAGAAAGATAGCAATTTCCTCTCATGGGATTTACTGCTTCTAAAAACCCACGAGAGGGTCAGCTATAAGTCAGCTCCAGCTTGACAACAAATAACAACAAATATGAAAAAGAATGACAAATAATACAATAACTTCCTAGTTTCTCCAAAAGTTCCCAAATCTTACCCAAACTAAATATAAAAGATCAGAATTAGAAGATAACATTGATAAGATGTGATTCAGTAGTTTATACACCTTATTCAAATTTTGCCAATCTGTTGTCCATTTTCGGGCCCATGACCCAATTTAAAATCAAATATTGCATTAAGTTGTCATGTTTCCTCAGTCTCCCTCAAATTAAGAAAGAGATTTCCCTCATTTTTCTTCATCTTTTGTAATTTTGACACATTTGAAAAGAACTGGAAAAGTCTGTTTCTTTCAATTTGAATCTGTCTGCGTTTTTCCATTTTCAATCCATGTTGCTTTCTTTCCTTTATTTTTCCTTTGTCCATCACATCATTTAACTTGGTCCATCAAAAAGGATGAAAGTCACACAAGTGTTGAGAACTTTCATTCATAGGGCCGTTATGAGTTGCCTACAACTTGACGGCACTTAACAACAACATTATGTTAGTAGGACCATGCTGTCTCTATATCCCAGTATTGGTGATGTTAACTTTGATGGTTTCATCAAGGTGGGTTGGGCCTGCCAGATTCTCCACCACAAAATACATTACTCTTTTTCCAATTTGTGAGTGATAAATATCTTGTGGGATTTTATTTGGTTTTAACTTACTAAATTATCCCTAGAATTTGGAAAGGACGACTGGGGTCAGTACAGAGAAGAAGATGAACAGTACACGGATATATGCATAATACTTTTTAAAAATCAGACTTAGTAGCAAAGAGATGGAAGGAACTCAGGTGCCATCAACAAATGAATGGATAGAAAAACTGTGGTACATTCACACAGTTGACTAGTATGGGACATTGAAAATCAATGAACTCATAAAATATTACAAAACAGGGTAAGCCTGGAGGACATTATGCTGAGTGAAATATCTCAGTCAAAAAAGGACAAGTACTGCATAACACTGTTGTTATATAATAAGAATGACCTTGCAGTTGAGGGGAGAATAGGAAAAGAGTGGATAGATAATGAACACTGCATTGGAACAGATGAGGGAAAGAACTGTTCAAAAGGAACAGATAATTAGGTGTTACATGTATAACAACAATCTGGAACAAGAAATGCATTACAAGTGCACTGGGAGAGAGAAGAAGAAAAATGTGCAATCATGAAAGAATAAATATAACCTTTTTAAAAAAAAATCCTACTTAAAAATGGGAAAATGGTAAGGCTGATGAGAGACTAAAACAAATCAAATTTGCAGTCAGTATAACCTACCAGTACCCACTGAATAGGCAGGTAGATACATACAGAAAGCAATAGTTCAATAGTTAAAGATTCTCCCTCACTTACCAGAACAAGTTTTCTGGTCTTCATTCAAGATATAACCTTCGTAGCATTCACAATGGTAAGAGCCAGTTCTGTCATTCACACAGATGTGCTCACATCCATGAGTGTTAAGAGCACACTTGTCAATAGCTGTCAGAAGGTGATCAGGATAAATGTGAGCACATGGGGGGAAAAACAGTAAGCAACTATTGTCCTTAGCACGTACATACTCACTCACGTATGTACAAGCACTGCTAATGGCACCCAACCTCCAGGGTTTGACTCCTGACACCAGCAGACCCAGGGACATGGGCAACACTTTCTCTCTCTTTGCATCACAATTTCATTAATCTTTAAAACAAGTGGATTAGAGGAAATGATTTCTAAATTTTCTTCCTATCAAGATCCTTTTTCTAGAATTTAGAAAAACAGGCCTAAATCACATTGACGCTTTGTGAATCAAGTGTCAGATACTAAATGAGAGAAGATCTTTCTAAATTTCCTTCTATTTCTAGATCCTATGAACATTGATGCTAAGTTAGAGAGAGCAAAGACTGTATTTCATTAAATTTTTTTTTAAATTTAAAAACTTTTTGTTAAATCCCAAATTGTCAAAGGATCAAGGTTTGTTGCATCCTTCTCTACCAATCCTTTTCCTAAGCCGGCCTGTCCTCAGCACAGCCTCAGGCCCAGGAGACACCACTAACGACAACCTTTCAGTTTCAATAGTGTACATTTTTAAATTGTAAGATTTTTACTGTATATTGATGTATAGTGTGATTCAAGAAATTGCTTGTAATTTAAAAATTATTTGTTATTAAAAAATAAATAGTTATATATTTATAAAAAAAGAAAAAGAATAAGTAATGTAACAAATGGAGTTATGTATAATCTCAGTTTTCTCTCTTGGCAACTTTGACATAAAAATTATTGACGAACAACAGTAAAATCAGTCAAAAGAAGTTAAGTGAAAAGGGGTTTGAGACATAAGCTCAGTCCAAAATCTAGAGACTATCCCCCAAACCCCCTGACATTATTGATCCTGCTGTTAAGTTGGTTCCTAGTCAAGGCATCCAATGGATGGTGGGTTCACTTTGCTGAACTTCCAGCTAACAGGCCAGCATTTGACCTCCTATACCAACTGTTGTTGCTGGATACCATCAAGTCAACTGTGACTCATCGCAATCCTATGAACAAAGGGTCTGAACCTTGTTCTGTACTCTGGAGCCACGGCTCACCTGAACACGTTCTTCTATCAGCATTCAGGGTGTATCCCTGGCTGCACGCACAGTGGTGCTTGCCTTCCCCGTCACTGACACACACGTGCTGGCACTGGTGCGTGCCGAGCATGCAGGCGTCCAGGGCTGTGCGGAGGAAAATTAAAGCCGACAATATTAAAAGAGAAGAAATATTCCTGATGAAAACAAAAAGACATTTTCTCCAAATTTATTCCCAAATTTATCTTTCCTTTAAAAGAATATGTTCTAGAGTGATGTTTAGTTGATTTCACTCTGTTGTTTGGTACAGAGTCAACTCTGACTCATAGCAACCCTATGGACAATGGATCTGAAAATTATTGTATCCTATGCAACCAGGACTCCTTAGAAATCTCCCAAATGAGTTCTAGGCACCTGGCATCCCTAAACAAAGCTCACCTGAACACGTTCTTCTATCAGCATTCAGGATGTATCCCTGGCTGCACGCACAGTGGTGCTTGCCTTCCCCGTCACTGACACACACGTGCTGGCACTGGTGCGTGCCGAGCATGCAGGCGTCCAGGGCTGTGCAGAGGAAATTTAGAGCCAAAAATATTAAAACAGAAGAAATGAATATTTCTGATAAAGAAAAAGAGACATTTTCTTTAAGTATCTTTCCAATCTTAAAAAAAATTTTTTTAGAGTGATATTTAGTTGATTCTATTATTGTTGTTGTTTGTGTGCTCTCCTCATTGTCTCTGGTATGCATAAGCCTATAATTGTTCTGTCTTTGTTATTGTTGTTGCGTGCCATCAAGCTGGAACTGACTCATAGCTAGCCCTTCAGTGGGTTTTAAGAGGCAATAATTTGCACATAGGGAGATAGCCCATCCTTCTCCTGCAAATCAAATGGTGATTTGAACTCTGTGCCTTTGTGATTACAGCACAGCTTCTTATCACTAGGCCACCAGAGCTCCCTTTCTTTGTGTAGTTAGGTGCCATTGAGTCAAGTACAACTTATAGTGACCCAGAGAACAACTGGCCTATTCTGTGCCATCTTCGTCATTTCTGACATACTTGAGCTGTCACTGTGCCAGTCCATCTCATTGAGGGTCTCATTCTCCTTTGCTGAAACTCCTTCCAAGGAATAGCCTCTTCTAGCAACATGCCAAACATAAGTGAGACAAAGCTTCACCATCCTTGTCTTCAAGGAGCATTCTGGCTTGGCCTTTTCAAAAAAATAATCTGTTTGCTCTTTTTTGCAGTCCATAAGATATTCAGTACCCTTCTCCAATGCCACCACTTAAAGGCATCAATTTTTCTGTCATCCTTATTCATTGTCCAGTTATCAGATGCATATCAAGTGAGAGAAAAGCCCATGACTGAATCAGGTACAACTTAGACTTCAAACTGACATTACTGATGCAGAGTAAACTGTAGAGATCCCTGACAGCAGACTTTCCCATATAACATAATATGTGAATAAAACAGGAATCAGATTTGACTACATCTGTAGAAAGAATCAGTGGAGAAACTCAGTATTAGCAGTCAAAACCAGGCAAAGTGCTGATTGCAAAACAGATCATCAATTACTCACATGCAAATTCAAATTGAAGCTGGATAAAATTAAAACAAGCCCATAAGAACAAAATACAATCTTGAGTCTATCCTACCTGAATTTAAAAATCAATTCATCTCTGGAATAGGTTTGAGGCATTGGACACTAATAATCAAAACCCAGGTAAGTTCTGGGATGAAATCAAAGATATCATCCATGCAGAGAGAAAAAGGTAGTTACAAAGACAGAAGGGGGGAAAGACCAAAACTGATGTCAGACGAGACCCTGAAAATTGCACAAGAGCATCGAGAAGCCAAAACAAAGAGACAAAATGCTGAAATAAAAGAGATGAACACATATTTCAAAGGGCAGCTCGAGACGACAAAGCGAAGAATTACAATGGAATGTGCAAAGAACTAAAACTGGAGAATATAAAAGTAAGAAGTTGCTTGGCATTTCCAAAATTGAAAACACTAAAAAACAACTTTAAGCCTTTAGTGACAATACTGAGAAATGCTCTGGGAAAAATCTTCAATGAGTTTTCTTTTTTATGAAGCATCAAAAGAAAATGGAAGAGAGAAACAAGAGTCACTCTGCTAAAAAGAACTGAGTGACATTAAAGAAATTAAGGAAGTACCATATGAACAAGAGCCAATGGTAATGAAGAAAGAAATTCAAGCTGCACTGAAGTCACTGAAGTCAATTTTTCTTTAAAGAAAATAAAAATACAAAAAAGATGTCTTTACACATGGACCTCAACCTATTTTTATTGTTGTGTGCCGTCGAGTTAGAACCAGTCCATACCTGACCTTTCAGTGGGTTTTCAGAGGCAGTTAATCACATGGGAGATTACCCCCATCCTATCTTTAGTGCACTATAAAAGTTGGCTACTAAAAAATTTTTTTTAAAGTTGGCTATTAATCTTGTCCCTCTGGCTTATTAGAAATAGTATTCAAACGGAAAGTGTTATTAACTTAAAATTACAGAACTTGTAGATTTTCTTAAAAGAGAAAGGGAATTTTACATTTGGAGCTAAGGTCAAAACCTTCTGTGGGTCAGACAACTTAATGTTTTCTTCAGCTTACCTACCATTCCTTGAAAAACCCTTCCATTTCCAAACACAGAAGGTTAAAATAATAACATAATTCTTGAAGTTCTGTGATGAAGTTGTCTCACTGCATCAAGAATCTGGACTCCGTCTAAGAAGAATTCACACACACACACACACACACACACACACACACACACAGGCATTCCTGTGGGTCCAGACACTGCTCAAACTTGAGAAGTGATAAATATTTCAATAAAAAAAAATAGTGGAGGACAATGAGGAGAACTGCCTGACAGATATGCAAGACAGGTTCTTGAATCCAAATAAACACATATGCAAGCACTGAGTCTCTGATGTTTTCAAGGAAAGTGGATTCATAGGCCCAACGCAAGCAAGTGGAAACAAAAGGAAAACCAAATTAGTGAGATTGTATTAACTAAACTGTCTCTCCTTCTTTTTGCTTCTAGATGCATTTCTATTTCACTGGTTTTGTTGTTTGTTTGTTTTTGTAGTGGGTTGTTTTCAAAATGACTCAATTGATGTAGTCATTTCTAAGAAACCAAGGTGGATGCTGGGACTTCTGCGGCAGGTAACTCAGTCCCCATTGCTTTTGGCCACATTACAAGGCTAATATTTTCCCAAGAAAGGCTTTTTCATGGAATGATCTTTCCAACCTGTTGACTACTACAAGCTGCCCCTCGGTCTCTTTTCCATAGAGAAAATATTTTTCCCTACAGTACAAGCAGATCTTTGGTTCCAGAAGGAAAAGAATGACACACACCACTTGTTACTTGATGGCCTTCAGGCCCAACCCCAGGTGCTAACTTGGAGAGTCAGTTTTCCACAGAACAGCAACTAAGAAAAGCTGTCACCCACAAGGCAGGGGTTTTTTTCCTGGGAGAAAGAAAGCCATTTTCTTCTTGGAAAACCAATGAATTCCAAATAGATGCCACCAAAGTCAAAGCAGCCTTGTGAAGGTCCAGTGTGCTGGGACAGGAAAGACAAGAGGGAGCCAGCCAGGGCTGGCGGAGATGAGACCAGGCTTCTCCCTGGCCAAGACATCGTGCTCCATTTCCTGACAAACTGGTGATTGCTGGGGTAGATATAAAGTCTCTTTGAAATTGTCAGTTCTGATTACTGGTTCACTTGTTGGAATCACCTCTCTCCTTTAGACTTGATGACAAGCATAGACTACCTCCATCTTTGCAACATCGATGATCAAGAAAGGCACACTGAATTTTTAAAATGTGCAATAAACTACACATTCTTTTTAAAAAGCATCTGTGTTAAAATTCACCTGAATTACTGCTTTCCAGCCTTTTGGCAAAATACAAGTGTAAAATTCATGTAAATTAGAAATTTGTCTTCACCTGCCTGGATAATTCCACAGAGAGTTCCAAATGATATAAAATGAAGTATGAATATCAAATATTTATTGTATTGGTGTGTGGCTAAAAAGAAACCTCAGCTTTAGACAAACTGCTATCAATAAATTTTCTAAAAAGCACAATAAAAATGCTAAAAGTTAGTTAAACTTATATTACATTAACATGAACATATTCACAATCCATCCAAAAGGAAGAGCAGGAGGTTAACAATAAATTTTTCCCTCCAAATATCTTTTTCTTGTTATCTGTCAAGTAAGCTAACACATGAACCTCTCTGGTCCTTAATCTTCTTCCTTTACAGAGGATAGTGAGAGAGAGCAGAGCCTTAAAACTAGAAGATGCATTAATATATACACACAAGGACCATCACAGTGCAATATGAGTCAGACGACCTGTCATGAACAGTTACCACTCCTTGTCTTCTGCAGAAAAACCAGCAAAGTCCTGTTTAAACTAGAAATGGCAGAGCTGGGGCGGGAATCTGTAAAAAAAAACATAGTTGTGGGCAGAGGGGGAAAGAGGTGTCTTGAGTTGTTTGGGGTTTATTTTTTATTCTAACCTTATTCAGGGAACAGCGGGAGCATTTATCCTGGATATTTCCAGACCTTCGCATCTCTAATGCAAACATGAAGATTTTATGAGCAAACCAAGTTATATATAATGCAGTTTTATGTTCCTAAGTCAACAAAGTACATTTAAGTTGGTAAGAACACAAACACATACAAAAAGCATTGCTTGTATTTTGGGGTTTTCCATAAAATTTCCACCAAAGAAGTAGAATAAATCTTTTTGTGTGTGTGGGTACACAATGTCTGAATACAGCATCCTTTCTTGTTTGTAGCACAGACTTACCACAAAAAGTTTCCTGGAACCTAGATGAAAGTTTCTCAATGACTCCATAGGTCTCCACGTAGAAAACATGATCTTCTAGGGGTTCGCTAGCCATCATCTTAAGGGACTCCATGTCTGCCCGGTCCACTCCCACAGCATAGAGCTCAATACCGGATGCCCGAGCCCGAGCTGCCACCTCATTCACTTGGTCCTGGGGCCTCCCATCTGTCACAATGATGGCCACTTTTGGGATGTTGATAGTGGACCCCCGAGCGCCTGCCTCCACTGTGAAGGCTTCATCCATTGCTGTCTGGATGGCCAGGCCTGACATGGTGCCTGTTGATAAGGGTGTGATTCGAGCCACAGCCTGTTTCAAGGAATGTTTATCTGAGTGTGCCCGGAGATTGAACTCAATCTTCACCGTGCTGGCATAGTTCACCACTGCCACCCTTGTGTCCATCTCCCCAATGTCCAGATTGTCAATTATTTGAGAGACAAAGGTTTTCACTTTGGTGAACTCCAGAGGCCGGACACTTCGAGAGCTATCAATGATAAACACCAGGTCCAAGGGTCTGCTCTTGCAAACACCTGCAAAACAGAATGGGGAGCAGAAAAGACTATGCAGTACAGCAATGAATGAATGGAAATCCAAAATCTCTGTAAATGTTCATTAAAATTATTAAAATTTAAAAAAAATACAAAAAAAAAAAGACTACGCTGTAAGCAGGCCACTCAAGAAATGTAACAATCCTCTAACACCATTCTCTCTGTGAGTGTTGGAAGTACAGAAGACTTCAGAATTCCCTAGCACGAATTAAAAATGTTGTTGTTCTGTACTGTAGAGTCAGAAATGGCACAAAACTGATCCTCCACAAGGTTTTCAGAGGCTGTTAAGAGCCTTGGAGGAGATTGTCCATCTTTCTCCTGTTAGAGCAGCTGGTATATTTGAACTGGACACCTTTGTGTTGCCAGGAAAACTCTTTACTACTAGGCCACCAGAGCTCCCTGTACAATTAGGAGATCAGGAAAAAATATCAAGGCCAAGGATTCAATATAGAGATCCCTCTAATACTAAGTTTACTCTCAAGGTTCTTCTTGATTTCTATGAATGAATAGATTTCAGATCTTTCCTGAACACATTGGCTGTTTAAGACAATGTGAGAAAGTGTCCCTGCATATCATAAAAGAGCCTGGATACACAGGGCCAACCTTGCTGCAGACCGCTCTGTCAGATCTTGTCAGGCCTTAAGAGACAAAGGTTTGAACTTTGGTGAACTTCAGGGGATGAACACTACGAGAGCTATCAATAATAAACACCAGGTCTAAAGGCCTGCCCGTTCACCCCTACCCCATCAAGCAATGCCAGAGTTTGAGGTGAGTCACTCTGATGGTTTTCTGGTAGCTTCTTTCTTTGACTCCACTTCCAAGAGGTGAAAACTGTTCCAGAAGAGCCCTACATTCTTTCTCCATCTGGCTAGTCATTCCTGTTTCCGGTATGAAAAACAGAGATTGCAGCATATTGTTTTTATCCATTCTTTCCTGATCCTGTTTCGTCAACCCTGTTCTGCTCATCCATCTCCTAGTCAACCAGTATCAAATCCTGAAGTTATAATTGAGTCAGAGAGAATACAGTTACCGAACTTTTTCAAGTCATCCTCCCTTTTATCCCAAAGCACATGCACACACAAACACAAAGACATACTCAGTCCTAAATACAAATGAGCCACTTAGGAAATGAAGTAGCAGTCAGGGAACAAGCCTAATAGAGGGCTGGCAACTGGTGCTGCTCTAAAAAAAGAATTTACTCGGTGACTAGTGTAAATAAAATATGGATTGAAAAAAAAAAATTCTAGACTAAGAAATCTATTTCAGAGGGGAAACGCCATATTGTGGAATAGGGATTATATCTTTCTTTTATAAGTACCACATCTTCCCCTTAGGATTATCCTACTGCCTGTTGTTGTTGTTAAGTGCTGTTGAGTCATAGGTCTCCACGTAGAAAACATGATCTTCTAGGGGTTCGCTAGCCATCATCTTAAGGAACTCCATGTCTGCCTGGTCCACTCCTACAGCATAGAGCTCAATACCGGATGCCCGAGCCCGAGCTGCCACCTCATTCACTTGGTCCTGGGGCCTCCCATCTGTCACAATGATGGCCACTTTTGGGATGTTGATAGTGGACCCCCGAGCGCCTGCCTCCACTGTGAAGGCTTCATCCATTGCTGTCTGGATGGCCAGGCCTGACATGGTGCCTGTTGATAAGGGTGTGATTCGAGCCACAGCCTGTTTCAAGGAATGTTTATCTGAGTGTGCCCGGAGATTGAACTCAATCTTCACCGTGCTGGCATAGTTCACCACTGCCACCCTTGTGTCCATCTCCCCAATGTCCAGATTGTCAATTATTTGAGAGACAAAGGTTTTCACTTTGGTGAACTCCAGAGGCCGGACACTTCGAGAGCTATCAATGATAAACACCAGGTCCAAGGGTCTGCTCTTGCAAACACCTGCAAAACAGAATGGGGAGCAGAAAAGACTATGCAGTACAGCAATGAAT